GTAGTAGTAGTAGTAGTAGTAGTAGTAGTAGTAGTAGTAGTAGTAGTGATATATTGGTACTGGGATATATATAGGTGTCTTCTTCGTCGTCGTTAAAGCTACCTGATGAGTGACCGACCCGCCAGGTTTTGCATGTCCTCTACAATGGGTGAAGAATACACAGGCGCGAAACTCCCGCGAAGCTGGATGCCTCCGACCCAGAAGTGGATGGCACCGGTTTGTAAAGGAAACGCGTCTTCGAGCCCATGGAATCGGCTTTCCATGTGTTTATTTGAGGATTTTGACAGTAACCTGACCTCATCGGACCTCCAAAAGTATTTTAATCAGTCCTGAGGACAGGTCCAGATGGGAAGGAAATCCCGTTTTGACATCTCCAGGGTCTTTGGATTTCTTTCGAAGCTCCGGATTCCGGTCATTGACGCAGTTGGACGTGGCCGGGTTGGCCGGTTGAAAATGGAGACGTTGGTCTCAAACCTTGGACGGACAGCCTTGGCCCATCTCGACCCCCACCCAGTTGGGTTGGCCATCTGCACAGTTGGGCATAGGAAACCGTGGAAACCACAGGAAACCGCGCAGAACTCTATTCTGGTCAGCCAAGCTGCCAAGCTCGGCCCATTTTGCAATTATAGAATCATCAAATCATCCATCATCAATCCTGATTGAATGCATGATGGATGATCGAATCCTCCAAAGGACGCTGAGACATGCAATCCCGCAGAACGTCAAACTCCACCGGTGCAGGAACGTCGGAGAACTTGCCTGAAGGGCTTCAAAAGCTTCTCGGAGAAAAACAACACGTGGGCAGCGTGGGAGTTGACATTAGCAGTCAAGTTTAGGCACTGCATTGCGATAGACATCTGCTATAGTTGTAACATGCTGCAACCATATCATCATCCGCGTTCAGAGGGCGATGACAGATCTCAAGAATACACCCAAATACTTTGGGCTTGATCAGCTTTCATAAACATACTAGGGATCTGGTTGGGTGTTCCGCTGAGCCCATGTAGGGATGGGTCAAGCTTCACAAAGAGGCACTGATGTTGGAGTTGTTGGACCAGCCAAAGCTGCTCACAACAGCACGTCTTTTGAGGATCAGTGGGGGAATGTAAGCAAACAGATTTGCTCTTTCTTGCCACAACGGACTTTCTTTGCCTATGTCTACCTAGCCTAGGGACCCTCCTAACGACCTTACTTATGACTCTGACTCTCCAATTCCTTCTTTGGCTGAAGGACCTGGCTCATGCTTTAACCAAAGTTGAGGATCCTGAAGCCTAGTGCATCCATGTGGCCATGTTCTTCGTTCAGCCAAATCCACCTGGGCCCGGGTGGGCTCACGTGATCGAAATGGCTGCAGGATTGAGATGGGCATTGGTGCACATGGACGCTTTCAACTTTGGACAATGACAGACAATTGCTGAAGATCTATCCAGTAGATAATGAAAAGGAACTTGATACATTGTGTATTTTGCCGTTGTTTTGGGTTGTGCCCACATCTCATTTGATTGGGCTGACATCTCACCAATCTCATCCTGCCAGACATGCCCAAGCCATCCGTTTACTCTGGCACCCGAAATTCCAGGCCATGGGTGGAGCTACCAAAGGGTGAAATGATTTGTGTGAAGAGCTCAGAATGCCGAAGAGCAGACCAAGACTCAAGACACAGATTTGCAGCTTGAAGGAGTCAAACATCAATACAGTAGCGCGGCATACGTCGCAAAGGCTTTGTCCACTTCTCAAACGATTCTCTCATGTTACGTTAATTTAGCAGTGTCTTTACCGTAAGATCTCACCGAAGCAAGTGCATAAAGTCGTGAATCAGGCGTAGACAAAGCTCCCGATTTGCAAGTCAAAAACTGGTGGTGGTCTGTTCGAGGCTGTCTACATCCATCCTGACAGACACATCCAACCACTACGTCACTACGTCAAAACGCTCATCCAATACATCAAGGAGGTATGGATGTTGTATTACAAAATACTTAATTCTTAATGGTGGATGTTGTGTTTTTCTCAACAACTGCACCAGACATGGACCACCGGTCGTGTTGCGAACTCAGAGCGTCCACAGTGGACGTATGGCCTCCCAGGTCCAAACCAACGCAAGAAAGTCAGGGGAACTGTTCAGGCAAGAGGATGTGTTTTTCTTTTCTTTTCATTTCTGTTTTTGACAGAGTGCATTGGGGTTGGGGTTGGCGGCGTTTTGGTGTTGTTTTTCTTTCGCGGGGAAGGTTTTCCAATCGAAAAAAAAAAACTGAGATGTCCGGATGCTGTTTCGATGATGTTGAAACCTCGGGAGCTTGTGAAGAAAGATATACTATTTACTTCTGGTGACGAAGCAAGGTGAAGCACTACGCATTTCTTTCACAGGAGTTATGGCCCAGCAGAAACCTCAAGAGTTGTGGCCCGGGTCAAAGATTTGGAGAATTCTTGCCAGCCAAGTCACGACCTGCTCACACAACAAGTGGTGTGGCATACTTTGTGATTCAGGGAAGACTCTCGGCCAGTCATCAACCTTGGGGCCCAAGGCATGGTTATATTAGGAGTTCATCCGCCAAAGTGACACAGGATTCAAGGTCTCTTGGTCAGATTACGACTTCATTTTCGGGTGAAATGATTGAGCCCAGCAAACTGACTTGGTGATGAACAAATGCATCATCGAAGATACTCCAGTCCCAGAGTATTGGATCCATGTTGGCGTTGATATCCTGGTTTGCAGGTGACAGATTGGGAGCAGCTGTTTGGTCCTTCCTTTGGTTGACCCTAACTTGCAGGGCCTACTGCTGGCTAGATGACTTCAAGTTTCAAGTTCCCCAGAATCATGTCATCGGGCATTATGGGCCAGGAGCTAGGCACAGAGCGTTCTGCGGAAATCAACAGCGCGACCGTGCAGAAACATGTTCTACTTGAAGCAAGTGGAGTTGGATGAGGCCCAGTACATCTTGGGATTGCAGGCTGGGCCGGCAGAATCGTTTTGATTGGCTTCCGCGAGCGCTTTTCAGGCAGGCGGAAGATGTTGACCATGCTCCCCAAATCTGGTCAATTCCTATGTGTTGTCAGTGATTTGAGTGTTCTTTTTCCTTTCAGCTTGACAAGGATACATAGGGAGACGGTGTTCCAGGCCCCATTTCTGGCGGATTCAGGGCCAGTTTGGCGCATAGGATTTAGGTGGCCACCTCAAGCTGACCTTTTTGGAACTTCCCGGCAGGCCTGACAGATCATCAGGTAGCGTGAAGTCAAAATAGGTTGGAGGTCTTTTCCCAGTGTTTTAATCCGAATCCCTTCGCAAGAGCCAGGCCTCTCAGTAATTTCGTGAAACCGTGGCATCTTAGAATGTCTTAGTCTTAGGCGTCAAACTTGAGAAGTCTTAGATTGCCGACATTCTCGTGCTACGAAAGCCACGCGTTGCCGACAAAAAACTGAGATCAGTCCGTCTTCGTCTCGTCCTCCGGTGAGGCGGGGCTCCCCGAAGAGTTCGACTTGGACGTCGACTTAGCGGACTTGGAGAAGAGGCGGACGAGATCGGACGAGCCGTCGGTTTTTTCGATTTGGGGGAGGAATAGGGGAGGAATTTGGTGATGGGACATGTTCCTTCAGAAGATGGAAGGATCTTTTCCGTTGCGATGAAGGGAAGTAACATGAAATAACTACTATATATACTTATATGGATATTTAAGTTTCACTGTATACGGTTTTCTGCATGTTTAATTTGTATCGATGATCCTTTTCATGCTTGGAGCTCGCAGATCTGGGATAGGCAAGAGAGGCGATGACCCAAGGGCCGAACACGCCGGCTTCGCCGGCCCTGCAGGTGTCATGCAGCCTTTAGCAGGCTTGAAGAGAATATGACCTTGGTCGAACAGGTACTGGCACAGCAGTTCTGGTGCGCCGCAAACGCCGCAAACGCCACAACCCTTGGTGCAGCTGCCTTCGAGTCCACAACGCTTCCTAAATGCTTCCTAATCTCCAGTTGTCTTCACAATAGACAGAAGCACAGCGATGTCCACCGTCAACGTCTCAAAAGGAAACAGCTGGTCCTATTAAACCATCCATACAAGCTGTAGCCACTGGCTATGTATCAACCTCCACTGGTTTGGAAAACAGCTGCAAAACCATGAACACCATCATGCAAAATAAAACGGCTCCAACATGGGCTTCATCCAGCTGGCTATTAAACCTCCATGAAAACCATCATGAAAACCCTCCCATTGCGGGAACTTCCCGGTCCTGGACCTCCGCTCCTCCGCCAGGTACTCCGCACCGATGAGGCGACAGCTGTGATCGCCCTTTTTCCTCGAGGGAGGGCCACCTGCCGGGGACCGAGGTCGCTTGGGAAGTGGAGAGATGGCTGTACCTAGGCAACAAGGACAGGTCAGGAAGGAATGCCAGCTGGGAGAGGGTATATATCCAAGTAAGACGTGCAAGACCTGAAATCTGACGAGAATTTTTTGACATTCAAGGTACTTAGAGGTTGAGTGGCTTGGATGCTCTGTTTTGTTTTGACGCATTTGATTCGCCGACTCAGGTATAGCAGCGCATTGACATCCCGATGCATTTTCGTGCTCAGGTTGGCAGGAATCTCGTTCGACTCTGGAAACTTTTATCTGGAACACCCCATTTCCACTTAGCAGGAGGGGAAGACCCCATTCGGAGTGGCCAAGACATGCTGCTTTTGTCAAACGCTTTGTTTGATTTTTCAAGTCTTCTCCTCCTCCGGGGTTGTCCTGAATGATCTGGGACTGTGGCAAATCTGCTGTGGTTTGCTCCACTTCTGTTCACAGAATCCTTTGAATGCATGGCCCGTTGGCCTTTCTGGGACGTGGTCCCGATTTGCCACTTTCTCGCATGCCCCAACAGCTGTTGATGTAAGACTAGGGGGGAAGTGGATGGATCAGCGCAAGAACACAAGTCTTTTACTTTTGATGCTTTTGATTGAGCAACTTAGATCTGCCCAAGAATCGATTGATTCAAGCTCATCCAAACTGCTAATATGTCGCCCTTCCCCCTTTGTTCCGGATCTGAACCCGACTGCCGCGATATTAGCAGTTCGGCTCCACCGTCACCGCCCGCCCATCAACGCCGAAGCGCAGACCTCACCGTGGGTCACCGGAGCGGAAGCGCGACGTCTCTCAAAACGTGAAAGGCTAAAGTCGCCTCCCGACTCCGAACACGGCGGCCTTTTGGGACAGAACACGTGTACACGCGTGGGTCAACAAAAATGGTCAATCATCTAACCGTTCGAACCCGCAAAAACCTGTCAACACCAGGATTTCAACTTGAGAGTTGTGAACTCTACTCTGAAGACCCAAAACCAATTAGTGTTTTTTCGTGCATGGGGGGGGAACCCCTGACTCCCGCTTTTTCCTGGTTGTTTGGGGTCCAATCGGCGAACCTGACCATGCCCCATTCAGAAAAAGACATTGCAAATAACAAATCCATGGATTGGAAGACCGGTTTCTTCAGGCTTTTGAGTCCAGGCCAATTGACCCACACATCAAAGATGCAATTTGAATCAGTCCTTTCGCGGAAAAGGGGACGGCGCGTGCTTCATTCACGGCCTTTTTGTTTGGGAGGAACATGGGGGGTCACGGTGAGGTGCATTTTCGTGTTCACGAGGTGTTCAGTGGCGGTTTGGTTGGGTGGAAAGTCAGACCTTGGACTTGTTTATATAATAGGTTTAAGGCTGATTCAGAGGAGCAAGGAACATGATCCCAGACTCCTTTCGGTACTGTTCTTAGAAACCATGCGATGAATGATTGAAATAAAGTAGGTGTACATTCCCCCGTAGATTCTTCGGTTCTTGGTCTTTACTCACAACCAGCATTTGAACTTTCAGATGCACTGCCCAGAAAGTCTGTTTGGGTCCAGTAAAATTAAGGGGTACATTGGTAGCAGTCGTCTTGGATGAGCGAAGACACGTTGTCCAAGGAGGCTTCGACAGGGCTTAAAGGGCACCATATCGCCATGTCGCGTTCACCGTCTCTTCCCCTCGTTTCGGCCTGGCTCGAACACGAACAAGCAGGGGCCATGAGCCGGGACACCTGGCCGAACGTCGGGTTGGCCATGGAAGAGACGAGATCCTCCCGATTGCACCTGCAAAGAAAGCAGATGGTCTGGTATTCAGAACCACACATTGTGCCACAACATGAGGCAGGGGATGATACGGTAGTACGGTAGGACTGCAGATTCAGATACAGATTAAAAAAAAGACACTGTCTGGGCCCTACCACTCATTTGGGATGAACCATCAACATCTACGAGCCATATATAATATATAATACAGTAATATATATGGTTGTCGATCTAAAGGTCCTAGACAGCATTGTGTGTGACGATGACCCGGAACACATGGTTGTCGATCTAAAGGTCCTAGTCAGCAGAGTGTATGACGATGACCCGGAACATATCAAAATCTCATTTGGCGAAAGTTTTTTCTCGAGTTGGCGAAAGTAAACTTTTTTGGCAAAAGATCTGGCGAAAGATTAAATATGTACTTTTGTATGAATGTTCATTTGCTTTCTGAACAGCTGGTGGCAGTGACTCAGAAGCTAGATGAGCTGTGGAAGTTAGATAACCTGCTTCTGCTGCGGCTGCCACTACTACTACTACTACTACTACTACTACTACTACTACTACTACGACTACCACTACCACTACCACTACCACTACCACTACCACTACCACTACACCTACACCTACCACTACCACTACCACTACCACTACCACTACCACTACTACTACTACTACTACTACTACTAGTAGTACTAGTAGTACTAGTAGTACTAGTACTAGTACTAGTACTACTACTACTACTACTACTCCTGCTGCTGCTGCTGCTACTACTACTACTACTACTACTACTACTTTACTACTACTACTACTATACTACTACTACTACTACTACTACTACCAGTACTAGTACTACTACTACTACTACTAATACTACTACTATTACTACTACTACTACTACTAATACTACTATACTACTACTACTACCACTACTACTAGTACTAGTAGTAGTAGTACTACTACTACTACTACTACTACTACTTCTACTATTCGTACTACTATTCCTGCTCCTGCTTTGGGGGGTGGCTTTGCCACAAAACTCTACCCCGCAAAAGGCGAAAGTTTGGCGAAAGTTGAGCTCAAGATTGGCGAAAGTTCACCCTGCCACATCTGACCCCCAGCCCATTATGAGTAAGTTTGAGTGACCGGCTACTACAGTGATTCTTGCAATTTTGATTCTTGCTGACACCCAAGAGAAACAAAAGAGACGTACAGGGTGTCACCAGTTAAGTAGAAGACACATGCTGACAAACAGTGAAGTTTCTATTTTGTGTTTGCCAGTAAAGAAGAAGCCATTGACGTGAACAAAACACAACATACATGGCACACATAAATACAACGTACTTCGGCGAAAGATAAAACGCAGGAAGGCGAAAGTTTGGCGAAAGTAATTTTTTTTTGGCGAAAATGACGGATCCCGGATAAAGGACTTTAGATCAACTCCCATATCAAAATCTCATTGGGCGAATGTTTTTTCTCGAGTTGGCGAAAGTAATATATTTTTTTTGGCGAAAGATTTGGCGAAAGATTAAATATGTACTTTTGTATGAATGTTCATTTGCTTCCTGAAGTGACTCAGAAGTTGGATGAGCTGTGGAAGTTAGATAACCTGCTGCTGCTGCGGCTACTACTACTACTACTACTACTACT